CTTGGCCGACATTCCCTTCTTGATTTTGGAAATTTGATTCTTGGCCTTCTACATGTTCTAGTCACAATTGTTTGAATGTGACCTCGAATGATTTCCTATGGAGATTCTCCCTCTTGGTGCATTTTTCCATCCTTGTGTGTAGTAGGGAAGGTATGCGCGATTTGGACAATTTATGGCAATGTGTCCAGGTGTTCCTCAATGAAAACATGTATTTTGATTCACATAGGAATTGTTTCTTCCTGACCCTGGTGGTGTGTCCTTTCCTTGTCTCTGATTGTTCCTAGAGACATACTTGCAGCAGGCACTGTGTCTCACTTTTTTTGTGGCATGTATTTACCAACAACAATTTTAGAAGTAACTGAGTTAGAAGAAAAAAGATTCAGCGTTCAAGGAGTCATTGGTTTAACAATCATCAGAATTTGTAGAGCTACAATTAGTTATTTTCTCCTTGTCCTCATCCTCTACTACTTTACCTGCACATGAAGTACAAGCATCAAAAACGTTCACCTGAATAACCTCAGTAGGCCCAGATGGTTCTGTCTTAATTGAAGTTGGGATAGGGGTTTGACCATACTAAGCAGACATTTCTTCCACATTGGTCTTAAGGGGTGGGTTATAGTTTTCAATAAAGGGATGTGGAACACTATCATACCCTCGACCCTTGTTTTGATTATCTTTGAATTTTAGTTGTTTTTCAATCATGTATGCAACTACTTCACTTGACACATCAAATTTCTTAAAGTTAAATTCAGCATCATTATATTTAGCTTTCAATGCATCAAGCTCGGTAGCTAATTTGGCCATTTCCCTTTTAACATAGTTGTAATTTTCACATTTATTACTATATTCTTCTTTTAAGGGTTTTTGACCTTTCCTAAGTGTATATCCTTCACATTTAAGGTCCTCATTTTCTCTTTTTAATAAATCATTTTGTTCATGAAGAAATTTAATCGTAGCTTCACAAGATTAAGAACATGAAACTTCATTGACCGGGATGTTGCGGAACTCATTGTTTAAAAAAAACACTTTGACTAAAAACTAAAAATTCAACATCAAAAGTCAAATTTAAAAATTCAAACCTAAAAATCAAACACAAAAGGTCAAACTTATAAGTCTAACCGAAAAGCTAAAAGTAAAATTTTGAATGTTAAATGAGAAAGTCAAAGTTTAAAGTCAAATGTCAAACTTGAAAGTCAAAGTCAATTTTGAAGGTTAAAAGTCAAATAGGGAAGTCAAGAATTAAAAAGCAAAATTTTGGTTAGAAAATGGAATTTTAAAAATTGTAAATTTGAATTTTGTGCTAAAAGTGTTAAAAATGCGAAACCAGAACCGAAAATGAGAGTCCTTTTGAAGCAAATCGGAAAGGAGAATAACATCTTACAAGCTAGATGAGTTTGAAAGGAAGAGGTTGAGGCGTATGGGAGACGTGGGTTCGAATCCTTGCGACACCCAATATTTTTGAATTATTGTTGATCGCGAGGGAACCGACAATCTGCAAGCCGAACACATGCTGGAGTTGCACCGAAAACCAATCTCGCATGAGACCTGTTTGTGACTGAGAACAAGATGCTCCTCCGCAAACCCACCTGACTGAACACGTGCGATATGTGCGACCGAAAACGTCTGAAGCCGGAAACGCTACCGGGCCGTGAACGCTTCTTCGGTTTAACCGAGAACCCTTATTATGTCCGACCGAGAACCCTTCATCTGTCCGACCGAGAACCCTTCTTCTGACCACAAATTCTTCGTAAATTACGAAAAAAACAGTGTTTTTCACCCCTTTTTGCTCCAAAACTCGGTCAAAAACTCATTTTATGAAAAACTCAAAGAAAAAACCCCCAATATTTTTCAAAAAACTATCCAAAAACAAAATATCCTTCGAGAAAAAGTGTAAAAACGCTCCAGATATTGCCAATATGATTTGTATAATCCAAGCTTTGATACCAACTGTAAGTACCAAATTTTCTTGATGTATCAATCAGGTCCAATTGATGGTGCAGAGTCTCAATCAATTGGATGATGCAAGATCAAACTATTGAAGAATGAGAAGAAGAATAAGATGAATACTCAATGTTTATATGATTAGAATCATGTTCCAACACAAGATTCACACACACTAAGCCCCCTTTTACCATTGACTCCCTCTACCACATGACATATATTTATAGGGAGCATTGGCTATGAACAAGGTCACGGCTGTGAACCAATTCACGACCGTAAACACTCACCTGGGCTATGAACCCTCCTAACCGCACACACCACATGGACTGAAAAATATGAAATCTTAAAAATGTAAAGTATAAACCATATTTTTGACACAACATTTCTTCTCCTAAGGGAGAGAAATTAGCCAACATCGAAAAGTTTGACCGTAAGAGAAAGGCTGACTCTAAGATAGTTCCACATCTCACTCTTAAAGAGTCGATTTGTTTCCGCTGCCAAATGAAGGGGCGTTCGAAGCGAAGTTGCCCAGACTACCTAAGAGATCTAAGAGATGGTAAAGTCAAATCTTATGACTCTACTTCAGGTACATCCATTATCTAACTCTATTAAGTTCATAATTATAGATTCTTATTCCATGATGTGTTAATCACATTTCAATGTTTTGAAGGATCGAATAAAAGTCAGGAAGCTTAAAAGAAGAGTAAGCCGAGTCTGATCATGAGAGATGGATTTTGATCGCATGGTTTGATGATCAGATTTTTGAGCTTTTGCTTAGGAGTTATGATAGGTTGCTTAGGAATAATTGCAAAACATAGTTTTCATTTGTATTTGCGTTGTAAGGACAAGTTTTCCACATATTATCAATAAAATAAAATTTTGATTTTACCTTATTTTACATTTCCTTGAAATGGCATTTATGAAAATTAGTGTTTATATTTCTATTGTTAGCAATGTTGAAAATTTGATTTGATTCTTAGTTATTTCGCTTGTGGTAGTGTCATAATTTACCAAATGATGTAGGATTCTAATCACCCAATTTTCAATTGGACAGAAACTTGGAATCATGCAATTTGAATTGTGTGATGTATGACAATCTTGATATTTGTGAAATTCAGACTAATTCCTTTTTCACATGCATATATGAGTCAAGTGACAGAATGACGAATCTAGTGCAAATTGATGTGGAAAGGTGAGATGCACCAAAAAGGACGATAAAGTCTATTCGTCATGATTTACTAATGGTTCAGTAAATATGATTATACTAACAAGATTAAGTGTAATTATGATACATTGAAAAGTTTCAAAGTATCTTATGATAGTGGTTGGAAATTAAAATTTTACATGGATAGGAACACAGACACCTAAATCTAAGTGGCAATAGGTGTACAAGCTTGATAAGTCTAGATAAACGCTTGAGAAGTCTAATGAACAGTGTATAAGCTTGAGAAGTCTAGATAAAGGCTTATCGAAGCACCACTTGTCATAAATATGAACTTTGGTAAGAAAATCAATAGTTATTGATTTCTAGAAGTCTAGTTGATTTCTGAGTACATGTCAAAGCTAGTGGGAGCATAATTGTTATGCTGGTAAGAGCATAATTGTTATGATAATGGGAGTGTTATTATTATGTTAAGTGTTGCAAGTTAGCAATGCTGATTATAGGAAACAAAGGTTACAAATTTGCAAAGTTGCATAATTTGGAAATTGATTCGCTACAGTAAGGCTTAAGGAAGAGGGCATTAATACTTCATTTCGAATCTAAAAGGTTTAGATTGAAATATTAATAGAACTTGGTCATGAATGCATTTGAATGGCATTTTGACGTATTTCAACATAGGAAATTCTATATACGGAAATATTATAGCAAAAGACTGCTCTAGTATCATGTCTTTATGAAAGACATTATGAAGTTTATCCCATATGCCTCACGTATAGGATCGATTGCATATGCTAAAATATTCGTTTGTCCTGATTTTTCCAAATTCCTAGCGCATTAAGAGGGAAAAAGGACATAAACTTGATATGGATAAAGTTTTTAAACAACTATCAAGGAAAATCTAAGGTTTACCAAGGATTGGTTGCTTGAGACGGTTGGAAGTACAGTAATGGACGGACCAGATTGATATAATTATCAATAGATAAGATTCTATTAAGAATGGATAGTCATATGGCAATCATGGAAATGTTTCCATAATACGAGATTGGATATTAAGAATCTATGTGTAAGTTATAAACTTTAATGCAAGAAGGGTGTTCAAGGAAATCGCTATGAATGTGAGACTTTGGAATTGTTCTCCACTAAATTGTGTTGTAATATTTTTAGCCAACTCTCTATGACTTTAGTGCCTTGACATTACAAAAGGTTTTTGCATGAAAGTTTAGACTCTAACAGATTCTATTAGTGGCAAGAATTTTGTATTCTTACACTTCGAATAAGGATTAGGGAATTGTGAAATGAGTATCATTGGAAATGTGTTCAATTGATCAATTTCACAAAGGAAGGACCATAGATAAACATTGTGCAACATCCTATTTAATTAATAAATAAATAGATAAAATTTGATGAACGAATAGTCGCCTTAATCCGTATTATTTAATGGGGAAGGGGTTTTAGGAAGCCAAATGTTATAAATCGGATCATCCGGGGGTTAAAAAGTAATTTTGGAATATATTTTGAAATGATTTTGGAGCCCAATGGACTATTTGGTAAGTATTAGACTTAATTTGTAAAGGATTTACGGGATCTGCGTTAAATAGGTAAATTGTGGACTAATTGTGAAAGAATAAGGAAAGGGAGGGACCAAAGGTGTTATTATGGAGAAAGGTTTGAATAGATACGGGACTATAACCCATCATCTCCTTCCAGCCCTAACCCTAAGGTGCACAACCACCACTCAAGTTCATCAGCCGCCACCACCAGTTTCTCTCTTGTGTTCCGACCAGATAAAGCTCCGACGACGCCACTTGTTGCCTCGAGATCAAGATGTCGTCACACCTTGCTTCCGAACTCCATGCACGAATGTAGAAACCACTGAGAGCGACTTCTGGGTGGCGTGATGGCATACTTAGATGCTCCTCCTCTTTCTTCTCCTGTTTCGCCTTCAGCCAACGTCGCCGATGTCGCTAGGGTTGTCAAACGCCGCCACCTGTTGTGCATCCATCGTGGGGAAATCGGAAGGCCGACGACTTTAAGGAGCTGTGGTGGTTCGGGGTTGGACTGCTACCTCTCTTCTCCATGTCTTTGTTCTAACGCATCGTTCCGAGATGACGAAGCGGCTCCTATCGTCGCTAATGCCAATCTAGGCACTGTTATTACCGGCTGTTGCACCACTATCGCTGCCACTTACCTTACGTAGGTGGTTGGGTTCGTTTTTCTAGTGGAAGACGAGTGTGTATGTGTGTGTATTATAGTGAAGTGATGTTTGGGTGTTGCATGGCCGGATTTTTCAAAAAGGAATCACTCCCACCATTTACCACCACTGGCCACCATAAGGTGGTTGTGTTTGTGTGATTAGTTTGTTTAGTGTTTTTGTTTTCGGATTAGAGTTTGTAAAATATAATCATAAATTGGAATAATGAAAAAGGAACCCTAACCACCACCGTAAGGTGGTGGCTACCGCCTCATGATGCCACCGGCCGCCGTGTCGGGTGGCGGTGTGCTTGCCTCGTTGAGTTCGATTCTTTATGGTGTTTGAAACCCTAATGGGCCTTGTAACCCCTAATGGACCCTAATTTACTCAAAAAAAACACTAATGGGCTTAATGATTTTCAAGTGGGCCTAATAGGCCCAATAAAGCCCTAGTTGACCTAAAAGCCCAACAACTTGATAAACGAACTAGTATTTGGGTTGGGAAACCCTAATGCCCATAAAACCCTAATTTGGGGAATTAATCAGAACACACGGGAATTATTTAATAACTTGAGATATTAAATAATAATCATTCTCAAAAATTAATCTAAGCAATATTGGACTAAATGGATTAAGTCCTTAATGGGTTAAGTGAGAAACACTTAACCCTAATTTTCATTTATGTGAAGACGCTAATATTAGGATTATGGGCTTGGACCTATCGGGACTCACATTTGGGCCATTGGAATGCAATCGTGTATTAAGCCCAATCACACCATATGACTTATTTAGTAAAGTGAGGGACTTGATGGATTAAGTCCTTAATGGGTTAAGTGAGAAACACTTAACCATAATTGTCTTTTATGTGAAACCCTAATTTCACTTGGGCTTTGTGTTGGGCATTTCCTTTGGGCTTTGGTAATTGGATTATTAATGGGCCATCCAAGAATAATCATATGGACTAGAATATGTTGATGGGGGATAAGGTAAGGCCCATATGAGGGTGTAGGCCCAATTTGGAAAATTAGGCTATGGACGGGCCATAGTTTGGGCCTTGATGATTATATGATGTTGGGCCTTAGAACAAGACCATGTAAAGGCTTACGCCCATTTTGGAAAATTGGGCCATATGTCGGGCTTTGATTCCCAGCTGACTTTGGGCCTTTGTATTGGGCCTTGGGCTTAAATAAGCCAAGCTTGGGGTAATGTAGTAATTGGGTATTGTTTGATGTTGACAGTTCGGGAATCTGTCATCCAGCAGTTGGGGTTGAGTCTGCGGGACTTCAGCAGTGTGGGATTGAGTCTGCGGGACTTCAGCAGTTCCAGGTGAGTCTTCTCACCATACCCATGGGTCCAAGGCACCAAGGTCGGACCATTATGTGCTTATGGTATATGTGTTATCCATTATGTGGTTTTATATGATGTATGCTCTTATGTTTACATGAAGACCCCGGGGGGAACCCGTGGCATTGGATGTAAGACCATGTGGGGGTAGCCCATGGCAGTCCTAGGTAAAGACCATGTGGGGTAGCCCATGACATTGGATGTAAGACCATGTGGGGTAGCCCATGGCAAACCTAAGTGAAAACCATGTGGGGTAACCCATGGCATTCTTACATGTTTTTGTATGCATGACTTATATGTTATATGTAGCTTCTATAGCTGGCAAGATATGTAATATGGGTAGCTTTTATAGCTAACAGGATATGTGATATGTGGATTATGTGTATGGTATGCCGTCGAAAACTCACTAAGCTTCGTGTTTACAAGTTTTGTTTATGGCTTCAGGTACATTTTTTTCAAAGGAAAGGAGCCGGCTCGATCACACCACATCACACTATGTTTTCCACACATGAGATCTTTAGGATTACACTCTGATTTTATTTTATGATGACATGCTTGATTATTCACACTGGTTTGACATGAGATATTATTATGACTTTTATACTCATGGTTTTATGTAGTGATAACTTAAGTAAAACAAAATTTTTGGTCTTGAATTTTGGTTCGTTACACATAGTGTGCTTACTTGGATAATGGGATGACTATTGTTTTAATTCAAGTATTGAGTTGATTAGTCAAAACAATAAACAACGAATAAGGTCTTATTTAAATGGTGATTAAATTATAAGTGTTTTATACATATTCAAAAGTTTTGAGACCATATTGGATTAGATTATTCTTGTGTTTCACTTTGCATGTTTTACTTCCCGCATAACTAGTTTATTTAAATATCCACAATCGACCATACTTTGGAAGTAAGTAATGAGGTAAGACTATCATGAATCCGACTGTAGATTGTCTAAGAGCTTAGACATAGCTAATGTTTGTTGCAGTGTTCATGAGTACTCGTGAAATAAGAATTTAAGTATTGGATAAAACCCACGCTCATTTAAATCACTTCATGGATTTTATCACGAGTGATTGTGAGACAATAATATCTTATACTCTTTAAATGGAGACATATAGTTGTTTTTTATAAGTTGGTTATGCGTTGATAGTTCGTAAACACATCAATAACACGATGTTATAAAATGTATTTTTATGTGTTATTTGATGAGTAAATAGTACAAGTGTATGTGTCAAAGTTTATTTGTTCCTTTTATCCTAAATGAGATAAAACCGATATTTGTGGGCCCCTCGATAATTTATTGATGACACCCTAATCTCTTGGCTAAGCCTAGACTAAGTTGATGTGTTCAATTGTAGTCTAAGTCAGTCATCATAAATCGGATGTCAGGAAACAAACGTTGGAAAGCGAGAATGATTATAATCCATGTCTCATGTTCATACGATATCTTGTAGTAAGGAGGAATATTTGATCACTTATATAAAAGATGCATTACTGATGAGATCAGCGTTCGACTACAGCTTTTGAAATCTACGATTGCAAGTCAAATTCTGAAGTCATACTTGCAATAATAGTTATTAGACTTATCCAAGTGGGAGACTGTTGGATTAGGTGTCTAAGCCCATAACTATTATTGGTATGTACTTGATTTGATTTGTAGCATGGTCTTTTTGGGTTGCCATCACTCAATGAACTTGATATGATAACTAGTGGAGAGAGAGTATGATTTATTATATGAATAATAAATTGGTACATAGGATGATTTTATTAATGTATTATAAAATTAATATACTATTTGGAAATCATTTTATTAATTAGTAATTAATCAGAAATTAATTTGATATTAATTTTGGTATTAAAGGAACTGATTAATAATGGAGGGGCAATTTTACAAATCATTGATAGTAGCAAAACTGGGCTACTGGACTCCTTGGTATGGAGTGGACGAAATGCTATAGAAAGGCCATATAGATTTCCTCCAAGGGCTTCTAAAAGGAGTGTCCATGGGCGGTTTGGTGCCTAAGAAAGGTATTAGGGTTTCCACCAGAAACCCCTAGCACCGATAATTATTGTAAAGATCCTCTTGCTTGGATTTTCAGTTACTCTTTTCTTTGGAAGAACCCTCGCCGATTTCTAGCATCTTCTCCTACACATCCTTTTCATTAATTACTTGTAAATCCATTAGAGGTGCAACACTTGGGGCACTTAGCTTTCAAGAGTCAAGGTGCTTCTTGTTATTGCTACATAACAAGTAAGGTAATAATTAAAAGCTAATTTCATATAAATTTTGACTATTGTATGCTAGATCTTGGGTTATTGATTTAGTGTTCATATTTGTATGGTCAATAGAGAAAACTTAGATCCAAAGCAGTAAGGATTGCATGATTACATATGAATGTATATATGCTCATAACCCATCATAATCAACCATCACGATGGAATGCCAATATACTATGGGTCCAGTCAACCATCTGATTGGAATACCCTAGGCCCATCAACCATCGGGTTGGAATGCCAATCTATAAAGAGTCATGTCCTCCTCAAGATGGAATACCCTAGAGACCAATCAACCATCGGGTTGGGATTCCCCCGACCTGTTGGCTTATGCACAAAGTAGTAAAGCCTTAACCACCGACAAAACCTATCCACATATAATAAATAACATATAATAATTATCTACAGACAGTCAGGCATATCTATAGATCACTACAACATGATCACATGTTAGTGTCGAATATTTTGTAATGTGTCGAAGTGTGTATTAGCAGTTTCGAAAGTCTTTTATCTATTTACTAAGGCATATTGTATTTCAATGTTTGATGTTTAGTCCATAGTATTTTTTGTATACTTATTGATTCTCCTATAAATAGGAGTTGTACTCAGCGATAGATAGAACTTTTCGAGGCTTTCTTTCTAAACACTCTCTTTGTATGCAGAAGTATAAGTGAGCTATAAACAAGATCTTATTTACTCCATGTGTTCATACACGATGATTACTCTGATTTCTGTTATACTCGATTAAATCATTTCGACAATTGGTATTAGAACACGAATCATCTTTTTGTGATCTGATTTTCATTCTGTGTCAAAAGGATTTTGAATCACTGTTCAATTTAAAAATTTTGCATCCTTTTTTTGTTTTCTGAAAAACATCTTAGATTACAGTTGTGATTCGATTTTGTAATTGAGTTGTTTAATCAAGTGTTCTTCTTATTTCTGTTCAATTCATCTGTTAATTCTCAAATTCCTAAAGTTTTTATGAGATGTCATCTTCAGATCCATGGAGAATTTTAACATGAACACAATGACATCGTATTCTCATCTCCTTGGATTATCTACGAAGATTCCAATGCTCATTCGAGAATATTACGACCAGTAGGCTGATAGAATGCAGGATTACTTGAATGGGGTAGATGAGGAACTATGGAAATGCATTACTGATGATGTAATTCCATCTTCTTCTATTGAAAGCATTGGTAAATCATCATCAACTCCAAGCGTAACTAAAAAAATGAGAGGTTGAAGAAGAATGAAAAGAAATGCATGAGAGAGCTTTGTGGTGCTCTTCCTCAACTGGTATACAATCATGTTCATTGTTGCACAACTTCAAAAGAGATATGGAATACATTGAAGGAGAAATACCAAGGGAGTGAGAA